AACTGAAAGAAGTGCAAATGCTGTAAATCGGGAGCAAAAACAGAAGTTGCTGGAAAAGCTCAGCCAGTCTGGCAGCATCTGTGAGGAGATATCAGAGTTAACATTTCGGGTCCAATGACCCTTTGCTGCACATTAACTCTGATTTTTCTTCACGGATGCTGCCAGACTGGCTGAGCTTTTCCAGCAACTTCTGTTTTTGTTTGTGGTTTATCCCCTTCCTTGAATCCTCGTCCTTCAGTGGACTATAACTTTGTTGTGTGAGTCATGAACTGTTTTCTTCAATGTCTACCATTGTTCCTCAACCATTTTTTCTGCTAATCTCCTTTCCCACTCCACTTCAGGCAACTCTGGCTTAATTTCTTTGCGATTACCGTTATTTCAGTTTAACACCGGTTGCTCTCACTCAAACTGAATGCTAAATTTTACTATGCTTTGGTCACTCTTTTCTCAGGGAGCTTTTGCTCTGAGATGTGTTTGCTTCATTACTTGCCTCATTGTACATTGTGGGTTTGCCTACCCCAAATGGACTGCAGTGGTTCAAAATGGCAGCTCACCAGGACATTCTCAAGGATAACTAAGGATGAGCAATAAATGCTGGCTAGCTAGTGATGCCTGCCTCCTGTGAATTAATAATAAGAATTACCAGATCTAAAATAGCCTGATATCTGATTGGATCCACAATATGTTGTTCTAGGAAACTGTCCTAAATACACTCTATGAATTTCTGTTCGAGGCTCCCTCTGCTAATTTGATATTTTTTCAGCAGAAAGTTTGTTACAGGTATATCTAATTTAACCACATGCAGTTAAATGCAAAATATACTTTCTCTGGCAGACCTCAGAATAAAAATTTTCATGTTTGATTGTTTAGTTGGCTGCCTATTTGTCCAAATTGTGCAATGATCTACTGTTTAACTTCTGGCTGTCTGTGTCATGTACAGTCTTCTGTGGAATGTGCCCTTTAAATCCAAAGATGATAAAATTCATTTGCATTTCCTTCCCAATCCCCCATTGCAAATGAAAAAGTTAGGCCTGTACCCCCTGCCATGTCTCCTCCAAATATGGTACAAATTATTAAACCAGTTTTTCATTGTCCATTCCCCTTTAAGGCTCCAGAGCTATTGCTTACTCTGCTGCTGTCAACGTAGGACCAAAAGACAGGATTAACCCATTTACCCTTGAACTATTCCACCATTCAAAGAAAGCATCACAGATCTGTGACTGAACTGCATTTACTGGACTTCATCTTCTATTCCTTAACACTTTTTGTGCCCTTGCTGTTTGGATTTATACAAATGATTTAAACCTGAACGTAGGAGGGTTGATCAGTAAGTTTACAGATGATACAGAAATTGGTGGAATGTTAAGTAGTGAGGAGGATATAGATGGGCTAGTCAGATGGGCTGAGCAGAGGCAAATGGAGTTCAATCTGGATAAATGTGTGGTGATGCATTTGTGCAGGAAAAACAAGGCAAGGGACTACATGATGAGCAGTAAGGACCCTGAGAAGCATCAGGGGCACCTTGATGTGCAAGTGCACAGGTCCCTTAAGCTATCGGGACAGGTGGATAAAGTAGTTAAGAAGGCAAAGTGTATACTTGCCTTTATTCAAAGAGGCACAGAGCAGGGACGTTATGCTGGAACTATATAAAATGCTGGTTAGGCCACAGCTAGATTATTCTGTGCAGTTTGAAACCCACGCAGGAGGGATATGATAGCACTGGAGAAGAGATTTATCAGGATGTTGCCTGGACTGGAGAGTTTCAACTATGAAGAGAGATTGAATAGACAGCTTGTTTTCCATTGAGCAGATGGAGAGGTGTCGTGATTAAGTTGTAAAAAATCGTGAGGGACATGGATAGGATAGATAGGAAGAAACTTTTGCCCTTGATGGAGAATCAGTGACAAGGTGGCATAGATTTAAGGGAAATAATTATAGAATCATACAATGCAGAAAAGGCCCTTCAGCCCATTGAGTCTTTACCTTCAAAAATTTCCAACGGTTTTTTCCCCCCACCCAGACCGTAGTGGGAATCTGGAACTCACTCTGTAAGTATTTAGATATGCACTTGTGGTGCCAATGCATACAAAGCTATGGGGTAGGTGCTGGAAAATGGAATGAGAATAGTTAGTTGGTTGTTTTTGACTGGCACAGACAAAAAGCACTGAAGGGCCTTTTACCGTGCTGTAGATCTCTAGGATTCTAATAATATAGTTTGAGTAACCTCTGCAGTGGGTGCTGTGTTCATCTATATTGAACTCTCTCCAAGGCAATATATCCTTCCTAAGGTGTGCTACTCAAAATACCTCTGATCTACCAAGCCCTCAGCCTTATTTCTACTTGTATTGTAGATTTAATGCCAGTAATCTGTTCGCCTTTCTAATTTGTTTTACTTGTTCAGGAAATTGTAGTAATACTTGTGTCTGGATGTCCACTGCTTCTAGCTTCTTCACCATTTAGAAAATACCCTGTTCTGTACATTTTAAGTCCAAAAATGCATGACCACTATTTGGTTACATTGAAATCCATTTGCCACAGTTCTTCTCATTAACCTTTCAATATCTCAATTTTTGTCTTTCTTCCACGTTTTTGGGAACTAGACCATTAGCTGAGAAGGATAAATCTGCAGCTTAGAGGTAGGAAATGGGAAAATAATGAATTGCTCATTTGGAGAGCAGTGCAGATGCAGTGGGCTGAATAGTTTCCTCCTGTGCTTTAGTAATTCTGTGATTTTACAATGCTACCTACCTTTGTCTGATTGACAGATTTAGATATATAACTTTCTATCTTTGTCATTAATAAATAACGAATACTGAAATCACTGGGATGTCCAGTGTGCTGACCTCGGATGAGAGTAATTATTCAACATGTCGTTGTTTCCTTTTCCTTCTTTTCCTCTTCCTTCCCTTATTTTCATAACAGTATCGCTGTTATCAGAATGGGGCCTACCTGGATCCAGGCAGCTCTCTTATACATCATATAATAGTCTTTTTAAAAATGGCACCAGTACTGATTGTTGCAGGAATCTATAGTTTCTGTACTGCATTCGGTCTGCAAGAGGCTTGCGACATGAAATCTTAGTTTCCACCCCACCATCTATCTCCTGCCACAGCTACATAGATTTATCTACTGATGACAACAGAACAGTAACATCTAACCTCATGTACCTTCTATCCATTCCATCAACCACTTCATTTTACTTCTCTGGGCTAAATGACTTTAACATCAAGTAACAACCGCAAGAAGCTCAAAAGGATTTTTGCTTCATTTTATTCAGAACATTTTGCAACTGCAACAAAACATAGTGATTAGTTTGACATCAGGGTTTGTTTTGGCAATTTAATTAAAATCAATCGTGTGAAATCAGTTAACTTGAAAGATAGAACCATGCAAGCTTTTGTAGAATTAGAAAGTGCAAGAGTCCACATTGTTCATGAAATTGGCTTCTTGTTCGTACATCTGAGATCTCTTTTATTCATTCATGTGATGAATGTCACTGGCTAAGCCTGCATTTATTGCCCATCACTAATTGTCCAGGGGGCAGTTAAGAGCCAACCACATTGCTGAGCAGCATGTTCACTGTGTTTTTGACTTAAAATTATCCATTTCCCTTGGTCATCTTCGCCACAGACAATGGTCAAAAGAGCACGAATAAATACATTTGCACTTTTACCAGATTCCTGTGCAGCTGACCACGAGGAGTCATCTCCCTGTTTGTTGCTGACCTGTTGTCTCGATACTTGGCTTAAAGAACTTGTGTGAGACAAGTTATTATGAAGTAATCAGTCTCCAGAAAACTGCAGTTGTTACTTCTGAAAGTCCAGTTGACACATGCATTGAATTGTTGGGCTGTCTAGGTGGCCTTTCCATCGTTCCAGCACCTGATGCAAGGCAAGCAGATATGGTTTAGATGAATATTGTAAATAGAGGGAATGATCCCATTGTGATGACTCTGTTTAGATTGGTGTCAGAATCATTAAGCATTTAACTGAACTGTCCGCTATTTTTTAGACCTTAACATCTCCTCCTCCTAGGAAGTGCAGTTTTTATGACTGTCTCATTCTATGCTAGATCTCAGCCCTTCAGAGTTCCTGCAAACTCATGTGAAAGGGTTCCATTGAAAGGACTGCTTACATATTAGTAAATGTGTGTGTATTTGAGTGTGGTGAATGGAGTGCAAGTCATGCATACAATATGTGCAAATCCTATGTTTTGATGCACTGAACAGGGTTTGGGTGCAGGTTCTGTAGTTGTGGATAGTACGTTTGTTGGTGGGCTACCTTAGTTGGCTAGCTGGCGAGTTTACAATGCTGAGTGCCAACAGTGTGCGTTCATTTCCCACACTGGCTGAGGTTACCATGAAGGACTCACCTTTGCAAACTCTCCCCTTGCCCGAGTTACGGTGACCCTCGGGTTAAACCACAACCGGTCATCTCTCTAAAGAATGAACAGCCCTACGGTTGGTAAGACTTCGCTGTGTTGTTATGTATGCGGAATGCAGGTTGTTTGTTTTGGATGCAGTGGATAAGTAGGAATAGGGTTACAGAGCATGTGTAGTTTATGTACGTAGCAATGCAGGATTTAGTTACTATATTTCATGGTACAATGGGAAGGTGCAGATAGTTTGACTATCTAGGGTTGCACATGGGAAATTGTGCCCTCTTGCATACCACCAAGTAATTAATGTTTTTTGTTTTGTGATTCTTTGAGGAATTCAAATTTTAACTTATTTGGAAATTAAGTTGCCATGAATTTTACTTTCATTGGAACTTTTTGCCCATTGTCTAAAATCATCTTTTATTCTACTTGCCTGATAGGTGTAGGAACCATTTTCTACTCACAAGATATATTGATGAACTAATATAATGCTCATTTACTGTGTTATTTCATGCTAGCTGTGTAGTAGAATGAGGCCTGCTGCCTGTTAGCATGTCTGATGGTTATTTCACTAATGAAGAATTTATCACTTCATATTCTAACACCATTCTCTTGCTTATTAGGTATTTGCCTCCTGAATGTTTTGTCGTTGGGAAAGAGCCTCCTAAGATTTCCAATAAAGTCGACGTATGGTCTGTGGGAGTTATCTTTTATCAATGTCTCTATGGACGCAAGGTAACTTTTAGTTCCTGTTTTTCTTTAAAAATAGTTGCATTTTATGCAGAATTGTTTTAATTTTCACAGCAGTGTTACAGCGTTGGCATGGAGAGCATCTCTTGCTGTACCCAGTTCTGAGGTTGAGAGAGACATTATATAAATGCAAATCATTTCACTGCCTTCTGTCTCCCCTCTCTCTTGATGTGGAGATACTGGTGTTGGACTAGGGTGGACAGTCAGAAGTCACATGATACCAGGTTATAGTCCAACAGGTTTAGTTGAAATCACAAACCAGTGCTCCAAAAGCTTGTGATTCCAAATAAATCTATTGGACTATAACCTGGTGTTGTGTGACTTCTGACTTTGTACCCTGTCTTGGCATGGGAGAGATGAAATGGGTAGGATATGGCATGGGATGGGGGTGGAAGAAATGATGGAATTTAAGAGTAGGAGGTAATTATTTGATACAATTTATTATTCAAAAATGATTAGAGATAACAAGGTGTAGAGCTGGATGAACACAGCAGGCCAAGCAGCATCAGAGGAGCAGGAAGGCTGACGTTTTGGGCCTAGACCCTCCTTCAGAAATGGGGGAGGGGAAGGGGGTTCTGAAATAAATAGGGAGAGAGGGGGAGGCGGATAGAAGATGGATAGAGGAGAAGATAGGTGGAGAGGAGACAGACAGGTCAAAGAGGCGGGGATGGAGCCAGTAAAGGTGAGTGTAGGTGGGGAGGTAGGGAGGAGATAGGTCAATCCAGGGAGGACGGACAGGTCAAGGGGGCGGGATGAGGTTAGTAGGTAGGAGATGGGGGTGGGGCTTGAGGTGGGAGGAAGGACAGGTTAGGGAGACGGGGACGAGCTGGGCTGGTTTTGGAATGCAGTAGGGGGAGGGGAGATTTTGAAGCTTGTGAAGTCCACACTGATACCATTGGGCTGCAGGGTTCCCAAGCGGAATATGAGTTGCTGTTCCTGCAACCTTCAGGTAGCATCGTTGTGGCACTGCAGGGTCCCAGGATGGACATGTCGTCTGCGGAATGGGAGGGGGAGTTGAAATGGTTCGCGACTGGGAGGTGCAGTTGTTTAGTGCGAACCGAGCATAGGTGTTCTGCAAAGCAATCCCCAAGCCTCCGCTTGGTTTCCCCGATGTAGAGGAGGCCACAACGGGAACAGCGGATACAGTATACCACATTAGCAGATGTGCAGGTGAACATCTGCTTGATGTGGAAAGTCTTCTTGGTGCCTGGGATGGGGGTGAGGGAGGAGGTATGGGGACAGGTGTAGCACTTCCTGCAGTTGCAGGGAAAAGTGCCGGGTGAAGTGGGGCTGGAGGGGAGTGTGGAGCGGACAAGGGAGTCACGGAGAGAGTGATCCCTCCGGAAAGCAGATAAGGGTGGGGAGGGAAAAAAGTCTTTAGTGGTGGGGTCGGATTGCAGATGGAAGAAGTGTCGGAGGATGATGAGTTGGATCCAGAGGTTGGTGTGGTGGTACGTGAGGACAAGGGGGATTCTGTTTTGGTTGTTATTGCGGGGAGGGGGTGTGAGGGATGATTTGCAGGAAATGCGGGAGACACAGTCGAGGGCGTTCTCGACCACTAAGAGGGGGAATGTTGCTGGTCCTTGAAAAACGAGGACATCTGAGATGTACGGGAGTGGAATGCCTCATCCTGGGAGCAGATGCGGTGGAGGCGAAGGAATTGGGAATAAGGGATGGCATTTTTGCAGGAAGGTGGGTGGGAGGAGGTGTATTCTAGGTAGCTGTGGGAGTCGGTGGGCTTGAAATGGATATTGGTTTCTAGGTGGTTGCTGGAGATGGAGACAGAGAGGTCCAGGAAGGAGAGAGAGGTATTAGAGATGGTCCAGGTGAACTTAAGGTTGGGGTGGAAGGTGTTGGTGAAGTGGATGAACTGTTCGAGCTGTTCGTGGGAGCACGAGGCGGCACGGATACAGTCATCAATGTAACGGAGGAAGAGGTGGGGTTTAGGGCCAGCGTAGGTGCGGAAGAGGGATTGTTCCACGTAACCTACAAAGAGGCAGGCATAGCTTGGGCCCATTCGGGTACCCGTGGCCACCACCTTTGTCTGTCGGAAGTGGGAGGAATTGAAAGAGAAGTTGTTGAGGCTGAGGATGAGTTCGGCTAAGCAGATGAGGGTGTCAGTGGAGGGGGACTGGTCGGGCCTGTGGGACAGGAAGAAGCGGAGGGCCTTTAGGCTGGTCAGTTGAACTGGGATTCAATCTGGATAATTGTGAGATGATGCAGTTGTGCAGGAGAAACAAGGCGTTCAATGGTAGGACCCTCCAAAGCACTGAGGATCAAAGGTACCTTGGTATGAATGTGCACCAGTCTCTTAGTGTAGCAGGGCAGGTGATAAGGTGATTTAGAAGGCTTGTGGTATACTTGCCTTTATTGGCTGAGAAATAGGGTTTAAGAGCAGGAAGGTTGTACTAGAACTCGATAAAACATTGGTTGGGATACAGTGAGAGTATTGTGTGCAGTTCTGCAATCCACATTGTATGAAGGAATATGATAGCACTGGAGAGGGGCAGAGGAGATTTACCAGGATGTTGCCTGGGCTGGAGAGTTTCAGTTATGTGGGAGATTGGACAGACTGTTGTTGTGTTTTCCTGAGAACAGAGAAGACTGAGAGGAGATGTGAATAAGGTGTATAAAATTAAGGGGTGCAGATAGGGTAGACAGGAAGAAACTTCCATCCTTGATGGAGGGATCAAGATTTAAGGTGTAGAATCATGGAATCATACAGTAGAGAAGAGGCACCTTCAGCCCATTGGGCTTGCACCTCCTGAAAATTCCCACCAGCCTCTGGGTGAAAAGAATTTTCTTTACATCTCCTCTAAATTTCTAGGATCATTTTGGAGGGGTAATATCTGATCCTTGAGGAATAGTTTGCTGCTGATCCCTTTCTCTTGTGAAGCTTTATCTTCATTTGAAACCAGTGGTGTGGGGACCACTCCATTGTGTCAGATTAGGTGAGAAGTCAGCCCCACAGGATCTTCAGGGAAGGTGCCAGTACTTTGCAAAATTTAAAAAGGTTTGAAAAGTGAATGCTTTCAGCACCCTATTAGCCTCTTCCTGGCAACTATGAATGGTTATCTGTAAAGAAAAAGTGATAGAAATGTATTAATCTTAATTATTCGGAATAGATTCTGGTTGACACCAGGGACCATCTAGAACTGCTTGAATCTGGTCCACCTCAATAGTAATGTCTGAACTTTAGCAAGCTTAGACAGCTTTTGACAGCTAGTGATATATATGTTGATTCTTGAAGTTTCTTTTTCAAAATGTATCAAAGAAAAGTTCAGGCAGGGAGTACTTTGAAAATTATTTTTCTTTGAACCTTCCAGTTCACTAATGACTGCTTGCTGCTTTGTTTTCTAAGCTCTGATATGTTTGAACATTTGCTTTCTATTCCTTAGCCATTTGGTCATAACCAGTCTCAACAGGACATCCTTCAGGAAAACACAATTCTGAAAGCTACAGAGGTGCAATTCCCTCAGAAGCCAGTGAACAGTGCAGAAGCAAAGGTAAGTTTGTCGCTTGAAATGCATGATAGCTGCAAGAAAAGTGGAATCTTGTTAGTATGCAGCTACCTGACCTTGCTATTTATTATGGTCACCAAATCCATTTGGACCTCATGATAGCACAGAGCTCTTGAGGTACTTTGACCAACAGTGCAAAGGCAAAATTAGACCATCTTGGTGCTCCACAATCGTTAAAGCATGCATTAAAGAATCTGTTTCATTCTACTGTAGTGTTATTCTGTTTGGTTTTTTATATTGTATCCACTGCATAAGGTTTTGCACTGCAGCACAGTTTAAGCTTTCCTGACAAGATTAACATATGCACTTAAAAATCTAACTTCTATGTTTTATAACTTTATTTAATATCATTCTAAGTTGCACAGTGTACACACACTCCAGTTCTCAAGAATTTAATTTCCAAAACAGAAGTTTGCATGGAAATAATCAGAAATTCTTACACACTTGTGGTTGAGGGTCAATGAATAAAAGTTTATTTTGGAAAGAATACTGAATCATAAGGAATGTAAACTTAAGTAAGATATTTTCTTTTATTATATATACAGAACAAATGTTAGATATCTGTTTGAATCTATGCTCCGATTGTTATCTGGTCTACCCACATTGGGGGAGGGAGTGGGTAAGTGGGCTAAAATGTAGATAAAAATCCATCAAGCTTATAGTTTTCTATTTTAAATTGTCAAAACATGAATGCATCTCCATCTGTCTATTTTTGACATACTTAAATAGTTGAGTTGATCACAAGCTTTGTTTCCAATAATTTGGAATAAATTATTTTTCACCATTGTTATAGCTTTAAACCAATCTAATTTCTAAAGATTGGAGCATAGGAACTCAAATGCAGAATGTAACCAAAACAGATCAATTTCCTTGTATTAATTCATTTCTCTGTAATTAAGCAAGAAATGTCTTTTCATAGACCTTCTAAAAGGACTTTGTCATCATACAATCCTACCTATAATGCAGTCTCAATATGCACCCAGTTATGGCTAGGTCACAGTGTAATAATCTGTTTAGACAGTTCTAACACGCAGTTTTGCTTCACTTACTCAAAGTATCTCAGCCCTGATCATGATGCCTAGTGGTGGGAAACAGGTGTTTCCTTCATTATTTATTTGAATTCCCAAGATATTCCTGGGGAGAAAATCATTGGTGTGTACCTATTATATACCACTTATTGGCTCGTTATAAAGTAGCATTGATTGAGACTCGAAGTGTTTCCTCAGGGTAGGTGATGGCCTAATGGTATTATCACTGGATTGTTAATCCAGAGACCCAGGTAACATTTTAGGTACCTGGATTGAATCCTGCCGTGGTAGATTCAATTTAAAAAAAACAAAATCTGGAATTAAGAGCCTAATGATGATCATGAATCTGTTGCTGATTGTCAGGAAAAACCCATCTGGTTCACTAATGTCCTTTTGGGGAGGAAACTGCCATCCTTATCTGGTCTGGCCTGCATGTGACTCCAGACCCACAGCGGTAAACTCTTAATTGCCCTCTGCACAGTTAGGGATGAGTAATAAATGCTGGCCCGGCTAGTGGTGCCCTCATCCTGTGAATTAATTAAAAGAAAGTGAAGAAGGAACAAAGAAAAGGGAAAGTATCTGGTGGGAGGATAAAAGATTCTTCACAGAACTAAATAATTTCAACATGGTAACTTTTTGCTTTTATGTAACTTTTTGCTTTTTGCTCTTATGTAACACAACTCTTATTGTCATGCTGTTAAGAACAGTAAAACTAAATCTTGTAGTTGTTTGCTACCAAGGGCACTTCAGTTTGGGAGAACATTGAAACTGTAGATAATCTATTTACCTTAATTGATGCAATTTCTTCATTGAAAAACAAAATACTGTAAATGCTGAAAACAGAAACAAGTATTAGAAACAGATCAGGCAGCATTTGTAATGAGATTGCAAACTAATCTTTTTCAGGCCAAAGATCTCACATCAAAAACGGCATTTTCAGAATTTGTTTGAATTACAGTTTTTTCAATATCCTGGAAACTTTAACTAACAGTATTGTGGGAGTATCTTCATCACACTGGTTGCAGACATTCATGATGGCCCACATAATTTCTTTAATAGCAACTTGGTCAGTAGTGTTTATATCCCCAGAAGGAATGGAAAATATCTTGGCGTGGCATTTTTCTGACTCAACTGTGAATTTTGGGTGCATCACATCACAGCAAGTTTGTTTCCTTACCTGTCATCCAGGCATGATCAGTTCCAGCAGGGAACGCTGAATAACTATGCATGTGGTACGTAAGAGATGTTGGTCAGTTTCCTCACAGTCAAAGAGACCTCTTTGGTCTTTGTAGTTTTCAGTTGGTTGTCTGGATCCTCCTGGTCAGTATGACTCAGCTATTCTTTTGGATATATTTCCTGACCCATAAAAAAGTCTGTGTTGCTGGAGATAGTGAAATAGCCAACAGTGAAATTGTTTTTTCTAGTCACATTATGTCAGCACACAAACCACATTTTTCTGTTGCAGCACTTCCTTATGTACGTGTTAATTTCCACAGTTCTTCAGTGATTCCCAGGTTCCTTGTGAATTGAGCGAAAAGTATTCCTATACCAGTCCTGTGTGCATGACTGGCTCAGACTGCTCTGGGTGAATGGAAGCAGACTAATTGTGGATCAGTCAAGAGGACACTCACTGTCTGTCTTACTCGTCTGTGTCTTGCCTCACACTGAAATGTCATTATTTGTGGATTAAATGCAAGACACTCTGGACCTACTGTAACTGAATTCTCTCGAGTACCTGGACCCAAGTTGTTCCTGAATTTTGACCAGTAGAGAACTTCTGATGAAATGGTGAAATAAAACTGGAAAATTTTGACAATACTTCTCACATCAGACAGTGTCTGTGGAAAAAGAAACAGTTAATGATTTAGTTTATAACCTTCCAGTTGCATTTTATTTTCAATGTTACGAGCAATAGCTGCCTCACTCAATGGAGGATAGACCCAATAGCATGTGACACAACAAAATGTGGAATATACGATGGTAATGTCACTAGAATAGTAACCGAGAATCCCACGCCACCGCTCTGGCAACATGGATTTGAATCCCATCATGGCACATAGTGAAACTTGAACTCAATACAAATGGTGATCATGTAACCACTGCTGATTTTATTGTAAAAGCCAATCTAGTTTCCTAATGTCTTTTAGGGAAGAAGATCTGCCAATCTTGCATGGTCTGGTCCATATATAACTGCAGATCCACAGCAGCGTGGTTCACTCTTGACTGCACTCAACAGCTCTGGCAATTTTGGATGAACACTTGAAATGTCATAACATTCAATGTTATGGGCCAAGTGGTGAAAAGTGGGACTGCTGTAAATTTAACATAACTTTGGCACAGACTCCAGTTGGCTGAAGAGCCTGTTCCATACTGTCCTATTCTATTCTATTCTATTCTATGATGCAGTCAGGATATTTGCATTTTTGATGTTTAGCGGGGAGTATTATGGAAGGTGCTTCGTCCAGAATATAACGATCTGAATTTAGCAATTGTGCAGCTTTTTATTCAAGGAATCAAAATGGCCAAGCTGTAATATTAAACAGGCTGGGTCACTTGTGTGAAGGATTTCTCCAAGTTGCTCTCATTTCAGCCTGGTGTGCTGCAGAAATAGCATTTGAGGAAAATGTTCTTCTATTTATTGAAGCTGTGTGAAGGGGATCCGTTGGATAAATGGTTGGTTTTGTTAAAGGTAGTCTCAGTCGATCTAATGATTCTCTTCCCTCAATAGTGGAGGAACATAAGTCCACGGACTCATCCAGACTGAAATCTTACTGCAATGGAAATGCTGTTTGCAAGGATAATGCAATCTTTGGGTGGTAATATTCCACCCATCCTTGTAGTATTCACATTCTTCATTCACCCCATTATAGTCAGTTCCCATGGCAGACCTATCAATCTTTCCGGTATTGTTCTGATATGGTTTTTTAAAATTTGTTCTTGAGATATGGGTGTCACTAGCTAAGCCAGCATTATTGCCTGTGCCTGATTGCTCCAATCCCTGTGATGTAATTACGCCTAAGGTGCTGTTGTAAAGGAAAGGAAGTATAACTCTGACTTGGTGGGGAACTTGCCATGTAACTGCTGCCCCTGACCACCGAGGTGATGGGTGGAAGGAGCTTTGATGAGCTTCTGCAGTGCATCTTATCAATGGTACTACCACTGAGCACTGATCGTGGATGGGATAAATATTTAGGGTGGTATGAGAGGTGCAGATCAATGGGCTGTTTTATTTTGTGTTGCTGGAGCTGCCCCTGTTTAAATGGAGAATATTATGACCAAGGTGGGAGGAGAGTACTGTCTCTCTCTAGTCCCATTATTCCCAGGTGACACGTAAATGTAATTGTTTTAACCAGTTTTCAATAAGGCTAGTCAGACCTTCACTCTATATAAGACTTCAAATACAAAGACCCATCATCCAGGTTTCTTTAATAAGTGAAGCAGCTGGTGGACTAAGGCAGATTTTGCTGAACACACACTGTTGTCTACAGAGATCTCCAGTGAAGCAATCATTCAAGAAATATCGACAAATTCTTTCAGAGGCCTCTAGTAAGAGAGCAGCTGGAGCAGGGCTCCAGGTACCCACTGGACCCACAACAAGAGGCAGTTTCCAGAATCAAGAGAACTGAATTCGGAAGCTTCTTTCTTTCAACAGGTCTCTGGCCAGTTACCCCAAATTACAACCAAATCAAAAACTGGAACCTGATTGTCCATAAACCCAGACAGACAGTATCCAGTAAACCAGCAATTACCACAAGAAATGAGACTTCTTGTTAAAACGAAGTTCCAGTGCCCTTTTGTTGACTTTTTTTTTAATTTCACGAAATCAGTAACATTCAAACTCGAGTCCACAAAAAAATTGGAAAGGAAGCCTTCATGACACACTGCTAATTACAGTAATTACGATAGTATTTTATTCAAGAAACATGTTCACAGCCCAAAGACTGAACTGTACTCTGA